AATATGAGGTAACAAAAACCACACGATTCAAGCAATTATGTTAATTTGGAAAATTTTCCAATGGGACAAACCCATTTAGTCTTATTTCAAGAACTATTGCTATATTTTCTCATTCCAAGGAAGACATTATTTGTGACTTTTTAAAACAAGATAATTTTGCTTCATTGGAAAATCTTGTTTAAAAGGCAGTCAACATGCGCTAAAATTAAGATACATTTTGCCAAGTCATCACAGTGCATTGCAAAGTTAATGTTTTATGTGGTTTGAGTTTGAATATTGAATGGATTAATGCCACAGTTAAATATCCCAAACAAATCTTGCCGATGCAGGAAGGTCTAAGGACAGTGATAATCCGGGACATTTATTAACATTTTTGGACATTGGTCCCTGCTTTCTTGCTTCCTTTGGACCTATGGTTCCTATGAATTTGCTGCTTTTTCTGTTTTCGAACGGTTTGATTCTTTGATCTGTTTTAGTTTTGGGCTATACACAAATACATTGAATTGAATAGATCTCAACAGATGCAATATTCAAGTCTGTTTACTGAATCATAGTATTTTGTAACTACTGTGGCTATATTTCACAGCAATAACAAGTAACTCACTCAACCCCCATTTAGATTCTTGAAAACAGTACGAACAGAAGACAATACTGAGGGTTTTGTTCTTTTTTTCCAGGAGCAAACCCTTAGAGGATGACATTAACCGTATACAGCCCATGGACATATGTTCCTGCTGCTGGCCAAGTCATTTTTACTGCCATGTTTGTGTCTCATAAAAATGTACGCGCAACACTGCGAAAAATATCTACACAAGTTAAAATGTCTTGATTTCAAAACAGTTTTGACACGTTCAGATTTACCCTGTGTCATTCTCAATGTGGGAAAAAGCTCAACCAAAAGCAAATATCTTTTTTCCATAAAGTCATCCTTTTCTTTAGAATTAAACAATTCTAGTTCCAAAGTAGTAACACATCCAAAGAACACATTACACCGAGTAAACTAGATTAAGATTATAAGATTAAAAGATGCTTTGAATTGTGCCACAGTGGTTGCCTCATTGGGGACAGAACAGTAGGAATGAAGAACACACAACACAAGATAAATGAACAAAAATGTTATACTAAAATAAAATAAAATCTCTTGCTTTAGCATAATAAAGAAGCCATTATTAGTAAAAAAATATGCACTGTTGTTAGGTAGTTAGTTAGAAATGTTTTTAATTGATGTACTCACTGCATGTGTTTTTAATGGATGTGTTTTCTTCTGCTGGACACCTGAATTTCTCCTACGGGGAATCAAAGTATCTATCTATCCAACAAAGTATAAAACCTCTATCTTTAGCATAATGAAGAAGCAAGAAGTATGTATAAAATCTCTGCGGCGCACTTTAGTAGTACTTTAGTCCAGTGCATGCTATGTACAGTTGTAACTATTTAAACCTGGTCAAAAATAACCAAAACTGAACTGATTTTATTTCCTAAACATCTGTATTTCTTTGAAGACAAGCAAGACCTTTGTGAGGACACTGGACATTGATGGAGCGAATCCGGACGATTACGACTTTCGAGGCTCGTAATGTTATTTCAATATGTAACGCTGGACTCGTTGAGGTTGCCAGGTACAAAACAGCTCCTGAAAAATCGGAGCGTTGCAGTTTTGTGGTGGGGAGCAACATTCTGGAGCTCGGGCCAGCAGCTCCGTGCAGCCTTCAGGGAGAGCGTAGCCTGTAATTATGGACCGGCTAAGCTGCAGAAACAGCACAAATTCACCACAGCTAGCATGCGCTTTATCTGCTGTCCGGCTTTTTTTTTTTTACGAGGAAGGGGCAGATCAATCTTTCAGCCGGCCGAAGTCTCCAGGTCCACGCGGGGGACCGCGTTGACAGTCCGGGAAATTGGGCATGGAAGTTTTTCTGCAGAAGGCGCTCAGGGTCGGTTGCAGACGGTAAATTAGCACGAGGACTTTGCATAAAATATGGACCTATCTGGGAGGTTTTGTGGTAAATTGGAAGAGCAAGTCCTACTTACAGAGGCTTGGGTTTCTGGGACTGGTTGTTGGTCCTGTGCTTTAGATGCAGACAGAAATCTATATTAGGATTGAGTCTAATGTCCACTATAGACACATTTCACACCCACTGTTTATAGAAGCAAAATAATTTACTGCAGGGACGTGATTCACTTTGAAACTGCACAAATAATGTCCAGTAATTTCGGAAAAATCTTGGTCACCTCATGTACAGAATGTGTTCCAGAATAACTACAGACTCAGAGTCCTCAGCAAGAGGTGTAGGGTTAGAGAGTTTTTGGGCCTTTGTGTGTGAGTGAGTGAGTATGAAATAAATAGATACTTTATCGATCCCTGTAGGAGAATTGCAGGTGTCCAGCAACAGACACATATCCATCCAAACAAACAGCAACAAAAAAATAATGAAAACGCTTCGTTCCGCAGCACATTCATAGAAATATTAGAAATAATAAACTCAAACTCAAATTCTATAATGAAATGCATGGGTCATTATTTATGTTACTAGGATGTCTTTTAAAGTAATCTTGAATTTCTCCCGTTTTCTGTTCTCAAAAAAGAGATTATAAACAATTTGCCAATGAAAAACAATACAGCTTCTAGTTATCTGGTTTCTAGTCAATACATTTCACATAGACCAAAGAAAAACTAAGATTTAAGTAATGGAATTGCCATATTTAAAATCACAAATCACAAAAATTGCTTTCTTATTCAACAAATGTGTGCAGCCCTCGTATCATGTGTCTGATTTTATGCTTGCTGACACAGACAGCTGTAATAAGACGGCTTTTCCATTTCTCCGTCTATCTGGAATCCTCTGACATAAAACCTCACACCGTGGAAAAATGCTTTATGATTTTACTTTTGGAATCTTGCTTGACACGGCGGCCAAACAATAACGACCCCAAAATGATAACTCTCCAATAAACGCTATTCTACTTCTGAGAGAGAAATAAAAGAGACAGCTATAATTCTATTCCAAGTTACATCTGCGACGGGCACGCAACAATCCAGCAGCTGCTCATTGATTCTCTCTGGAGCCGATGAGGTCACCCGTTTGGCTCCGCCTCCAAATGCAGAAATCGTTCCAATGGTCACTTTAAGAGCATCATGTGAGGACTTCCTGTGTGCTAAAAACAGGGGCCTACTTCCTGTTGAGGTAATAGGATAACGTGTTTATATGTTTTCGCAGAGGGCTTGTCGATAAAAGGTCAACGTCTCTGTGGCATTTTCATAAAGCGGCCACGCAAATGTGTTTGAATTAACATACGAGGAGACCTATACAACGGCAGCCTCAGACATTCATCATCTAAATGACTTTGTATCTCATTATGGCATCAGCGGCGTGCAAGATTCTCCACTAACGAGATCGAAAACGTTCCATCTTATCTCTTATCACACCATGCAAATATATATATACATGTAGAATTAATGGAAAAGTATTTAGTATGCATAAAACTATCCTGCTTTGTTCATAGCATCAAGAAATATGGCTCAGAATGTTGTATTTATGCAGTAATGTCACAAGAACTTACCATATTTTCCTTCATAATGTGAGAAAGCAAGCCATCTTTATTTATATAGCGCATTCCACAGACTGAGGTGCGCATGGAACAATTCACTTGCTCATTACATTCAGTATTGTGCATGTTTTAGGGGAAAACCAGAGAGAACCTGGAGGAAACCAGAGCAGACACGAGGAGAACATGCAAACTCCACACAGAAAGGCTTGGAGGTGGAATCAAAACACAGGACCTTTGTGCACTGAGACTGACCACAGCACCACTTCACTTCACTCATGTGTGTTATGAGTTTATGCAGAAGTGACAAGAATTAGACAGTTGTTCATGAGGTATTCATTGTCAAAATAGTTCACATTTGTCCAAGCGCAGGGGTGTCAAACTCATTTTGGTCATGGGCCAAATTTAAAAAGATAAGATCTGGGTCGGGCCAGAAATATAAAAGTGGTTATAAAAGTTTGTTGACAAATTAACTGTATTTGACATACATTTGGATGTTATTTTCTAGTAGGTTTGGATTCAACCACAACTGGGCCAAATATAATATAATAAGTGATTTATTGGAAGACTTGTAATTATATTTCAGTTTTAGAAATATAATTACTACATTTTAGAACAGATACAATTAAATGGTGTTTTTCCTGAGACAATAGGCTTTAAAATGAAGTACAACATTCATAGTAGCCCTCTTACCATCAATGCGGCAAGTAACTGCAATAGAGATAATTGAAAGTCATTTCAGGGGCCACTAAAAATGGTCTTGCGGGCCGGATATGCACCACGGGCCTGAGTTTGACATGCCTGCACTAGGGCATACCTGTAAGAAAGAGCCATGAGAGTCACTATATGCCTCTTTGGGCTGAGAGCTGATTGGTTGCTTCGATTAACTCTTGATGAAGCTGCTCTTCGGTTGTGCATGTCAACACTAATGATGTGACAAAGGCTTTGTGATTGATATATAGATCTTCTTCCTGCTTAAAACAGGTACCCCAGCTTTAAAAACACAACCATCTTTTCCAACTCAAACACTTAAGAGCACAGAGGACAATTAGGAATTATTACAACCTCATTACAAAGTCATTTAAACGGCTCGATTCGCAGCATATTTCCTCCAACGATTCCCTCAAGCTTTGAAATCATAACATAGACTAAAAAAGACAAACATAATTTTGCATGACGACTGAGCCAAACGAGTTCTGACTCAGAGAAAATGGCAGGTTTCACCCTTTACAAAGGTCACGTTAAATACTATTTTGGTCTGGGCATGTTGATTCTCAAGTCTTGTCTCCCGGCAACATAATGATAACAGCCAGGGGGAGTTTGAATGAGTCCCTTTTTACCTGTAATTTCAGATCTCAAGCTTTCAAAAGTCCTCATTTTGAAGAAGACGGACTTAAATAAACATGAATAAATGCTGCGATTACGACACAAAACAAGAATAATAGCAGGCGTCTTACCCGATTTCCGTCTGCCAGAGCCGCCGCATTCCCTGAAACGGAAGCAACACCAGAAAATCATGGTTAGTTTAGGTTCTGATCACAGCGGTCAGAAGTTCTAAGTCGGTGTGTGACCGTGGGGCAGGTGGCACACGCGGGCACCAGCCAAACCCTCGCCGAGAATGCATGGAGAACTTGACCCACTGGCCCACTGTGGGAGGGGGACTGGGAGGGTCTGCAATGTGCCAAGACCATAATAGTAACAAAGCAAGTGATCAGATATTTGTGTCTGCATGCTGGCACATACTGGTACATACGGGTACCGTATGTACCAGTCAAAGCTTTTCCAGACTGAAAAGTGGAAAGGAGAGGACCAGCCTCTTTCAGCCAATCAGCTCTCAGCCAAAAGAGTCCTATAGTGACTCACAGGGCTCTTTATGTAAGCACAAATTTACTTGATTTAGACATTTGTTTAAAGACAGCATGATGTAGTCTGATTGTTCACTTTTTTGTTTTTACTTTTACCTCTTTCTGTTGCCACAAATATGTTTCGTTTATGGAAAAAAAGGGTACATGCCCGAACTTTAACTTACTCGGACTAGAATATACAGCAATTTATACTTGCTCCTTTATTATGTTGAAGTCAGGGGTTTTTTGTACCTAAGTCTTGCTTCTTCATCATGTTAAAGATATATATTTCATACTCACTTCCCTTTATGCTAGAGTTGGATATTATATTCTATTTTAGTATGGTTATTGTTCATTTATCTTGTGCCGTGTGCCCCTCATTCCTACTGTTCTGTAACTTGTGATGCAACACTGAAATTTCCCCACTGTGGGACTATAAAAAGGATCTCAATCTTTTAACAAATTTAATCATAGCTTGGATTTGTTGGAGTTGGCTACAATCACTTTGTAACACAACTCAAAAACTTGTATCATTCTTGACATTCATTTAACCTTCTGCCGTTTGCTTTTGGCAGCCGCACTCAAGAGTTTAAAGCAATAAATGACAGATGAATCCTCCGTTAAAACAAAGTCAAGCTAATACAAGTCTCTTTTTGCGTTTCTATGACGATTCATTGCACAAATGTAATCTGTTATTTATGATGAAGCGAGAGGAAACTGGCAATCACATCACATTAAACTTTCAAACTGCACCGATATTGTATTCTGTTTCATGTGTTTGAGAGGCTGAATTCTGATGCCGATGGTACTGGACACTTGGCTCTCCAGAGGGGCCTTTAGGACCAGAGCGCCAGAGTATAGTGCATATGGTATCTGCTATATGGATACACACGGTATCTGCTGTATGGGTCATCATCACATGGTATCTGCTGTATGGGTCATCACATGGTATCTGCTGTATGGATACACACATGGTATCTGCTTTATGGATACACACATGGTATCCGCTTTATGGATACACACATGGTATCTGCTTTATGGATAATCACATGGTATCTGCTGTATGGATACACACATGGTATCTGCTGTATGGATAATCACATGGTATCTGCTGTATGGATACACACATGGTATCTGCTTTATGGATAATCACATGGTATCTGCTGTATGGATACACACATGGTATCTGCTGTATGGATAATCACATGGTATCTGCTGTATGGATACACACATGGTATCTGCTTTATGGATAATCACATGGTATCTGCTGTATCGAGTACACACATGGTATCTGCTGTATAGGATACATCACATGGTATCTGCTGTATGGGATACACACCTGTATCCGTGCCGTATGGATAACACACATGGTATCCTGCTGTAAGGATAATCACATGGTATCTTGCTGTATGGATACACACATGGTATATGCTGTATCGATAAGCACAATGCACTTTTGAAAGTACAGATTATATTTTTTTTTTGCCAACTAGTCCTCAGAGTGATAATTTAAACAAAATGTCTGTGTTTTGATGATGGAGAAAAAGTCTCCCATCACCAGAAGAAAAAGTAAATGGCTTTTCACAGCACTAATAATTGAATGTCCAAAGTCATTTATTACTCTATGTTTTCTGTTAGGTCATAAAAAAAGAATAAACCGGGTCAGTGAGCAAGTCTGGTTTGATAAGCTCTTAGTTTGTAACGTATGAAATGACAAAGGGTAGAAGACTGGGGGTGCATGAGAGAGGTCGCATGTTTGGATAAAAACTACTTGGGTAAAGTATGTGTCATGCATAAAAGCAACACAAATTACCTTTAATAACATCTAATCCCATTCAGTTTGACATGTACCATACATACTTTGTTATATTTGTACTAGGCATTCACTTGAGCGAGTTACAACTTCACTGTTGGTAGAATTTTGAGGTTATTTGCAAAATATCAACATAATATACGAAAATAAATATGAAATTGGTGTAGTTTAGTATATGGACTTTTTAAAAGATAGAACTCGTGCCTTGTTGCATTCGTTGGAGTGTTTTATGTCTTGGTTTAAGATCCACTTTAACAATCAAGTTGTTAACAGTGTGAGAGTTGTATGGTCCTTGCTATTTTTTAAATCAATTTTATCCCATTGATTTTATTTACCCCTGCCACTGCCATGTGATTACAAAGAATTTAATTTCACTTGAGAAATGGATAATAATGGGCAAAACCTTTGTCTTATAACAAGGTTTTACCCAGTTTTTTTTACCTAGACAGAAGAGGCAGAGTTGCATGTTTGTGCCACAAGTTTCTCATATTAGCTGGCTGGATCTAAAAACGTCAGGTCTGATTCGATGAGGGATCATTACTATAAGCAGTTGTAGTGGTAGAAGAAAAAAATTGCTTTAGCATAATATGTACTTTTTAAACTAGTGACATCCGACTGGTCGTTTTATATCCATGTGACTATAACTTTATATAAATAGAGATATATTGAAATATTGATATTGAAGCATTTGCAGATAGCTAAGAGACATAACAGCTACTTAGAGTGTATATTTCGTGTGCTCCCTGTGTGCTCTTACTATTGTCCTGTATGTGCGCTGCAACATTGAAATTTCCCCAATGTGGAACAAATAAAAGATCTCTTAGCTCACATTTATTATCTGCCGAATTGTTTTATTGTTTATTACCTACTCATGTGCAGCACTTCGGAAACTATTATTATGTGCAAAATAAATGAGGTAAATTCGAATTTCATTGCACGACTGAATAGTTCACTCCTTTGGCCATATTCCACTGATTCTAGCAAATGTTTGTGTGACATCACAACACAAACTTTATAAACCGAGTTTATTTGGCTCCAGTAAGAACCACACCAAGACACATTTGAGCCGCACTAAATAATGTATGTTTCTGTGCTCTCGCTAAATCCACTTGGGCGGAGATGGAGCAGGGGTCTGGACCAGGGGGACCGTCCACAAATGATGAGGATTGAGTAGAAGCTTGACCTGCCCTGCGCACCACTGACCCACCGCGCTTAGCTGGAATCAAAATCCCCCCTCGAGACAACTTTGGCTCCGTCCAGCACACCTCCCATCACCACCAAAGCCAACACAGACAAGAGAAAATGTCCAAACACTAGTCGACGTTTGCTTTTAATCAGAAAACTTCTCGAACATTGCGTATTCCTCCAACATCAGCAAAAAATGATCAAATATGAGGTGATAATTGCTTGAATTGAGTGGTTTTCTGTCTTAATTTCTCAACTTCTCGGCTCACACTATAGTCCTGGGTGAGTATTTTGCTCTTCCAATTCAGACACTGCAAAAAAGTGATGAAAAATAAGTAAAAAATAGCTCAAAATTGGCTGATTATTTCAAGAACGGTGCCTTTATTTTCTCATTCCAAAGGAGACTTTTCTTGCATCTTTTAAAAACAAGATAAGTTTGCTTTGACCCATTGGCAAATCGTGTTTTAAGCTTCAAATTACGATACATTTTGCCAAATTTGAGGCATTTTTAACTTATTTTTCATCGCTTTCCGCAGTGTACAAAAGTGGAAGAGCAAAAAACATCATTAAAACGCGGTAAACCCGAGACTACAGTGTGAGCTTAGAAGTTGAGAATTACCATCTGCTTGGCTTAGCTCAGTGTAGGTGGGCCTATTACCAATGGAATGTGTGAGATATTAGGCCTTTGCTCTCATTTCAGCCTAAGTATATCACCACACAGCCGCATACATTACCCAGACCTCAGATTAACCCGAGAAGGCCATACGGCATCGCACACGGGGACGCATTTTGACGAAGCTGCGGGATTGATGGTGTGAAACGGTTATCCCCCAATAATATAGCGACAAATGCGACTGAATATTTGAAGACTGGTGGAAATCCTGCGTTAATCCGGACATAATTTGATAATGATGTCACAAAGAGAGTGTAGCGGAGACAATAGAGAGCTGGCTTTGCATTCAAATTGGAATCTTACTTCGTACATTTCTTTGTTGGCAACGTTTTTATACAGTTTCAGATGAATTAACGGGATAGACTGTGTGGATTCAGCTAAAACAAGAGCCGCACATGATTCTTAAATGATGTGTCAGCAATTATGACTAATGAGACGATAGAGGACACTAACATTAATATATATATAAACTGGTGTAGGGTATTGTTTAACTAAGTGGAAGAGAGGGTTTTTGAAAGTTGAAACACACTGGAGCAGACATGTCCTTAACATTCTACACATTTAGTGGCGACGGTTTGATTTATTCATTGGAGCAGAAATGGTTACATGCTTAAGTGGTAACCAGTGGCGAGAGCTCTGGTGAACACTGGGGTAGTCTTGCACAGTTTTTCCAACGTGGTTTTACTGCAAATGGCAAATAAATTCTCAAAACATGGTTTCTTTGTTTATAGAAATACCATATCATTTTGTTTTGTCTTCTGTAAAAAAACAGTAGACAGAAAGACAGACCAGACAGACACAGACATACAAGCAGTATTCAAAGTAATGGGACAGTTACTTTTCAGTTTTTCAAGAGAGAGTGAGACTTTTTGGCCATGGTTAACCTCTGCAGCCTCCTGATTGGTCAAAATCAGTTCAAATGTTGTCGAAAAATACTACTGTTCACAATAGTATAGTGCCCCATGGTCAGAAAT